TTTCATACTCCACATCTTGGAGTAACACAAGCTGTCTTACATACACTGCTCAAAAAAATGTAGGGAACACTTAATCATGACAGTATAACACCAAGTCAATTAAACTTATCATTTATATTACTTAACTTATCAATCTATCCAGTTAGGAAGCATAAGCGATTATGAATCACTTTAAACTGTTTTGGTGCAAATGAAAGTGACAACAGGTGCACTGGAGAGGCAACAGCAAGACAACCCCAAAAAGGGAATGGTTTTGCAGGTGTTGGCCACAGACAATAGCTCTCTCCTTATCCTTCCTAACTGATTCTTCTCTAGTTTTGCGTTTTGCTAGTGTCCCTGTCACTACTGGTAGCGCCACAGACTGTCCAGGAGCGCACCAATGCTCTGATCCAGGTCTGGAAGGAGATTCCCCAGGACACCCTCCTCCATCTCATCAGGAGAAGAAGTGAGTATACTCCCAATTTATGCCCCAAGTTCATTTTTAAAGTGGCCTGTCCAGCAACGGATAACCACCCTGTGCCATAAACAGTGACATGTAAGACTACTATTGTATATTTAGCTCACTCAGAAGTGGGCCAGTAGTATTTGTACATTGTCACTTAACTTGTAGTGCTTGGACAGACATGAATGTGTGTCAGCTGAACCAAACCACTTTATATATTTCTAGATGATAACAGTGTTTTCTCTTGTAAATGAATCCTATTTATATTAGTTATGGTTATCAGTTTATACCTGATAAACACCTACTGACATATTTGCTCTGCATTTGTTCTAGATAATGCTACCAGCAAATATTTGATAGTGCTGTGCGTGTAAGAAGAGCTTCTCCCTGTGGCTCAGCCTGCTGTTCATGGCTCCACCCAGACACACACACACTTACACAACAAGTTATTTCCTCTGTTTGTGCCAAGCTCCGAAGAGCAAAAAGTTATGTAAGCTGCAAAATAACTTGTTTTGTACATCAGAGACAGAAGTCCCTTTAAATGTTCTGTACTGTCACATGTTTAAACTTTCCAGATGTGTGCTGTCACATGCACAACCTCTGAGACAGTTTCCCTTTGGTTTTTAGGTCCCAGCAGGCAGTTATTACCTTACGCCTGTGAATTTTGCTTATATGTGGGAAACTTGCGGTAGTTGCCAGGGAGGAACCAGAGCTCCTTGATTCTTCTCTGAGACTAAAAAAGGTTGCTGTGTGCACCCTGACACGTAACACATTCCTCCACCACAGCAGCTCGCTTCACCTCCCTCCATGTGGGAATATTCAGTTTGTGTACATGGATACCTTCTTGTTCTGGGATTATAAAGTGTTATCAAAAAGGATTAATGGGACAATGATGAACAAAAAAACTGGAATTAACAATAAGACTTGAAGGCTGCAGTTTTTTTTTTTTTCTGCCTCTTCACTGCTCCACCCTCCTGTCCTTGAGAGCCCATAACACAGCGATGACTCACTTCCTCTGTTTGCTCTCTTTCACTGATTTTCAGATTCTCATGAAGCCACATGATGATGTTACAGAGATCACAGACATATTACAACCCAAAGTGGAAAAACACTAAATGTCATGCAGGCCCCCTAATTAATGGCACGATCACTTCATCCAAGTCTATTCAAGTCTATGTCTGCATAATCTGCATCTACAACTAGGAACAAGAAAGTGGATTTGTATTGCACAGTAGCAAGAATTCAATTGGTTGAATGTCCGTTCATTGTTGTGACTGCAACATCACAACTTCCTAGATGGAATGATGTAAGTACTTCTTCTACCTTTGGTCTCCATCAACACCATGATTTTAATCTGCATGCTAGCATTTTCAAGTATTCTTCATCAATTTTCCTGGGTGAATTTGATACATTTGTTTTTACAACATATGATTATTTCTTATGGGGTTCCCCAGGGATTAATTGTAGGGTCACTATATTTTAATCTATATATGCTACATAGGTGCCATATCTTTCCAGAGCTATGCTGATGACACAACTTTACGTGGCCATGTCTCCTGATGACACAGTACTAATTCATGCCCTTTTATTATTTTATGTCACAAAGCTTTTTACACATTAACCAGGATAAGTACTGACTGGGACCTTAAGGAGAAAACACAACACACTTATTTCAAAGTCTTTACATTGGTTGCCTTTGAGTGTTTTGGTTTCACAGGTATTCTGGCACTCTTTCAGTTTCAGTCTTTCAGTTGTTCCAAAGCACAGTACAAAATCTTTTGGCCTTTCTGCTCCAAGCCGTTGTCATAGTCTGCCAGAGGATGAGAGCAACCGAAAGTGTTCTTTAAACTTATCTATTTTATTTGTTATTAAACTGTTTTAATGGTTTTATTATTACATTTTTATCATTTTATTTCTTGTGTGCATTAGCCTAATTGTTTTTACTGTTAACATTTGTCTTATTATCAGCTTGTCAGTCCTTTGTAAAATTTTCTGCATTGCACTAGCTTGTGCAAAAGGTGCTCCATAAATAAAGTTTGATTAATTGACTGAACTGTTCTGTTCTGCTATTGTGAGAAACATTATCATGCTTTCTGAAAATAGATGTTACTTAGTGTGTCTGTTTGCTGTACAAGCAACCTGTAAAGCTAGCCTGTAAATTAGTTTTAGCAGCTGGTATATTAAATGTTCAGCACTCAGGCAGAGCTCTTTATGTTTTTAGGTTGCCTTGAAATTATTTTGACATATTATTTGAGTTTTCTTAACTGTTTTGTTTATACAGTGCAGGTATTAACTGTCTGGGTCAATAATAAACCCAATCACCGTTCATGTACACACTGGACACAGCTGTGGGTGTGTGTGTATTTTAGCTGCTGGTAGATTTCCATTCAGCTGATAGGCAGATCACTGAAAGCTATAAGGTACTTTTTCCTCCCACAACTGCTACAGATAGTCTTAGAGATAGAGTTTTACAACGTTTGTCTACTTAAAACCTGTTTCCTCTACAGTCATTGTCACATTGTGCATCTTTGTGGCATTTTAATTGACAAAACAGTGGGTTTTTTAATGTTTAAAAACATTTAATTTCAAATTGAAAGATACTTTTCCTATTTGTTCTTTAACATGAATTAAGTGTATTATTACAACTTATTGCAATAGTAGAAAAAGATTTGAAGGAAAGGTAGATATTTTGTATTTGGAAGTTTCCTATTATCTTGCTGTTAGCAGCAGCACCTGTTACTGCAAGACAAATCTCTCCCTTTATCTGGAGAGACTCTGGACCGGACACACACACACATTTACGGTCACAGATAAAGCTGTGATCTCAAGATAACTGGCCTAAGACACTTCCAGCTAATTAGTAATCAGCTCTTGGTCTCTATATTACGGAAGGGTCCAGGGTCAGGCCGATCTCCTCTCCATCAGTTTTGGAGAGTTGTGTGCACAGCCCTCTTTCCACACAGGCACTGCTGTGTACACAGATGGTTCCATGAGAATATATGGAGGAAAAGGATGCCCCCATGTTTGAAAAAACATTTTCCGAAAAACGTGAAGTGCCGCCGCCTAAGGTGCAGTTTAATGCATGTGGCCCCATGAGGAACAGGAATTCAACAAAACCTAAACAAACCAGTCAAGTCCTACTATTATCTTGTCAAAAAGACTTTATTGAAACTACAAACACACACATTTACAAGAAAATTGCTGAAATTTTATACATTCATATATATTTGATATATTTAGCGCTCCATACTGCATCTCACTGAGGCAGGACTGTGTTTTTTCAATCACAATGGTTACAGATATACAAACATCATGCATTTCAAACCCGTCAAGGTTGCACCCGCCTTCCTAGAGACGCCAACAGGAAAACACTAAAAGCTCAGTTTCCCTTCTTCACATCTCTTCTCACCAAGGTAAAAACTGAAAATGACAATCAAGAAATTGAAGATTCTAAGAAGGTTTTTGGATTATCATGTGCATATTCTTTCTATCAGGAGTTCAGTGAACACAGAAGTCTTTGAAGGACCAGTGCGTGGGATTTAGTGGCATCTAGTAACCAAATGAATACAGCTCAACCTTCCAAGAGCTTCGGAGAAACTAGGGTGGCTGCAAAACTCGTGAAAAACATAAAAACAAAGCCCTATCAAGATCCAGTGTTTGCTTTGTCTGTTCTCGGCTACTGTAGAAACATGGCGGACTCCACAGAAGAGGACCCTGTAAAAAAAAAAAATACTCATTCTACCTATAAATATTATATTCCATTTCTGTCAATAGATTCCTCATAAATGTTACACACTGGACCTTTAACACCGGATGACAGACTAGCAGGTGATTGGTCGGTTGCTTTGGATTACGTTCAGGGTTTCTGAAAATGTTTATTGTAATTTCAACAGACAGCAAACACGTGCAACAGGGAAAAGGAAGAAATGCACCTTAAATTCTGGGCTGAAGCAGTAAGACGTGTAGTTATTCATATAAATGTTTCACATTTAAAAGGAGAACAAAATACAAAAATAAAAATGTTTAACAGAAGGATATAAATGACAAAATAAAGTGAGAAAAATTCTTAAAACTGATATGTTTATAGACATTATACAATTTTGTATATACACACAGATATGACATAAAACATGTATACAGGTCTTTGTACAAGATCAAATATAGGTAGCAGTTAAGCGGTATAGGCGCTTTGCTTTAGTATGAAATCTTTAAACACTGGTCTCAAGGCTTTATACTGCTCCAGAGGGCAGAGAAGGACGGACGGACGGACGGATGCGCAACAACACCCACACACAAACACACACGAAAACCACACCGGACACACCACACGACACACACACGGACACACACCGAAGGACACGACACGACAACGGACAAAAACGGACACGGACACACACACACCAGGAGAACACACACAAACACAACAGGACAACACACACACACACACACCGGAAACAACAGCACACACACACACACAGTTTTAAACAGACGGGGAAATGTATAGCACAGCCGATACATGATTTTTAAGGCCAATACCTATATTTCAGAGTTTGAAAAATCTCACAATTATATAATCACCCAATATTCTTTTTTTTTTTTGCTCAACCTACAACAAACATTGACATGGCTCCCTTAAATTTGTGTTTCTAACAAGGAATGTACTGGGCGGGAAAACTTGCAGTTGAAAAATGAACTTCAAGCTGGACAAACTACAGAATGGTAAAACCACTTTAAAAAAAATCTTTGGGATTTCCATATTTCGAATATTGTTTTGTCATTTATCTGCTGACAATAACCAATATATCTGTAATGAGTTCCTATTGGTGGATTTATAGTGGAGTTGGTTAACATGCAAGCTGACCAGCTAATGAAGTAGCTTAGCCGTTTCTGGTGAGTGAGCGAGTGTGCCATGGCCTTGCAAATTCCGTTTCAGAGAAATATACCTGCCTGATTTTGTTTTTCTTCTATGGCCTGACAATAATGTAATGTAAAGACAATATACATCCACAGCATCAGTAGTTCACAGATCTGAGTATTGGCCTTCAAAATCCTGCATCCTTTAAACCTCCCATGAGTCTCTTCCCTTTAACTCACTCACTGACAAAGCTGACATGAAGAGCAAGCACCACCACAAAGCTTCTCACATTAAGTGCAACAGCCATTTCAAGTTGGAGGAAAAGCTGAAGGATATACTCAACCTTATACTGAACCTAGTGGAGAGAACCAGCTTGAAGAGGAGCTGAACACTTACAGGTACCACACTGATATGACAGCGGGGACAAAAGGCCCCAGAAATAATTGACCTCACAGGTATGGATGGTGCGCTGGGCCCAGCACACTATTTACTAAAGCACTTAGAAAAATAAATATGTACAAAACAATATCCTGCTGTAAGTGGATGTGGTGGGGGTTTGAGACGAGGACATGGCTCTGGGGTTTCAGTAAAACTTAACACTTTTCCTCCTGTCCTGATCACTTGTGCAACCAAAGTTCTATGAGAAAAAAAAAGGGGGGGATTCATTGGTTTTTCAGCATGCTGCTGCTGCAGCAGGTGCTGTGGAGTCAGCTGGGGCTGGGGGTTGGTGGGGGAATTAGATAACTTTGTAGGTCAGGTAGTCACGGAGCGGTGTGGGAATGGCCAGGGCCTCCACCTGCTGGGTGGTAATCACCCTGCGAACAGTCATCCTGCACATGTGTTGCAGACTGGCAACGCTACGAGGACACTCCCAGAAGTGCACACTACCATCACGAGTTCTGGAACAAAAAACACAAAACAACGATGACAAATCAAACAGAAGGAGGTGGTATCACTGCACTGCTACATTGTAAGGGAGTCCATTGGAAAATGTCAAACAAAAACTTATGCTAAGAATGTAAACGGTCTGCCCGGGGAGACAAGGTAAAACATGGAGAACCAGTTTCCTTGGCTGCTCTTACATAAGGCAGGGGTTGATAATGGTGTGACTGAGGTATGTGATCAGTGTGTTCAGGATGGTGTGTGTCTAAACATGTGCTAGTGTCTTACCCAGCAGCAAGGACACTTCCTTCAGCAGAGAAGGCACAGCAGAGGCCATTAGAGAGAGAGGCAATGGCCTGAGGAGCCCTTTCTTCTATGCTCCAGAAACGAACCAGCCTGAGCAGAGACACACACAGACACACACACACAGACACACACTGCTGTCAGAATGCAAAGGGCATGAAACTGGACTACCTCTGCATTTGTATGATTTATTGAGTTAAATGCGTCCAGCTGGTGATGACTAACTTCATGTCAGTGTTTGACCAGCAGCACAGCTGGCATACATATCAACGACCATTTGCCTCGATTTTCCCATTGCTACCCTGAGTAATGACGGAGAGGTGAACATACAGTGTGACTGATCCAACATCATCACCTGAGCTGAATTGCAGAGCTGTTAGATCACAGCGTGAGATAGAGTCATTATCAGCCTGGCTGATTATTGGATCCTATAGTCAGCATTTTTCAGACCATCGGTATCATCGTTTTTTTTTTTTAATCCATCGTCGATAAAATAAATACATTTTAAAATGCGCTACTTTGGCTCTGATGCAGTAATCGCTCGGCCTGTAGTCACCACTCTGTCTCGTAGCCTGTTCACCCTGCTGCCATTGGGCAAGAGATAGATTGCCATACCGCCAGACTACAGAGCGGTTTCTTTCCTCAGGCTGGGAGACTCCTTAGGTCATTCTGAGCACTCCAGTTTTATTTGTTACTTATTTATTCAATCATGTACTGTATAGAATTGAATTTCTACAACTTTGTATAAAAGTTATACACCCCTTTGTTGTGAAATGATGAAAAAACTGATGGGTAACAATATATTATGATGGAATTTTTATGTCAATGAGAAAGTCTAACGAGACCTCTGGTCAGGAGTCAGATCGCTGATTTTAGCACAAGAGGCAAAGACACACTTGAATAAATACATTACACTGCTGGTCAAAAACAGTATTTTCTCTGAATTTTTTTTCCCCTCACCACAGCCGCCATTTTGCAGCGGTTCATCTAGCTTCTCTTCTCAACACATTTTCTCAACAGTCTATTGCTCGGTCAGACAGCAATCAGTGATTTATAGCTACCTTGTGATAGTCATGTGACCTATCCAAACAGACCAACATACGTTCGCTAAGTTTCATCAAGACTCATGATTCCCTGCAAGACTTAAAAACAAGCTGTAGCAAACAGTGAAGCTTTTTATCCCGCCCCATGCTGTTTACACATCAGCCCATTTCCACTAATAGGCATCAGAAAAAAGGCTTTAGTGAACAAACATCCACTGAAGAGGCACACAGCTGCACATATGTGGGTCACTGCTTGTTCGGGACTTGAACACTTTGACATATGAGTGTTGCAAACAATGCACTTGTTTATCTACTGCTAAAACATGTTCATGCTGAGATAGCCCACTTCCTAGAACAGACACAATATCCCACTATATCTGGGTTTAAATGATACAGTAATGGAAAACAGACCCCAGACAAAGAAAACAGAGTAGGATGCTGAGATAGATGTTAATTCAGAGACATAAGGAGTATTAAAAAATATTACTTTAACTCTGATGTCATTCAGTGTCTTACCTGTCGTCAGTAACGCTGGCAATGTGGCGGCCGTCAGGGCAGAAGCTCACAGAGCGAACCCAGCGGTCATTTGCCCCTCCAGCAAAAATAGGTGATGGAGGAGGGAAGAGATGGCTGGAGAAAGATGAGAAAAGGGAGTCCAACACTATCAGTATCACAGGAAAGTTTCTTAACTTAAAAATAACATTCACTGTTTTTCAATTTGATGTGTATATAATGTTTGACAGGAGAAACAGCACCTTCATCCTCTTGATACAGTTAAACTTATATATAAACAATAAAACACCTTTCCACACAGTACACCCAGGGGCTTTGCAATTTGCCAATCCAAAGTCGTGCCTTCTTTAGTTACAGTTGTTAGGTCAGACAGTCTTGAGAAAAAGTAACCCAGCTCCACTGAGCCGGGTGCCAGTGTATAGTTTCTGGGCGTTAGGTAATATAGCATTAAGAAACCAGCAGCAGGAACTACAATATGTGATGGAAAGATATATTTACGGGTCTTTTATGAACAAGGCAAAACGTAAAAAAAAAACGCAAATTGAGACTCAATCTGGTCTTCACAAAAAAGGGACAAGCCACACAGTCTTTGCATAGAGATGAGAGAAGGATGACAAGACTATTATTTAGTATGTCATCAGTGAAGTACTCCTATGTACATTGTGTATATCTAAATAACCCATGGCTTTCAACCGCATGAAAGCTCTGGAAAAGGACAGTAAATAGACCTTGAGTTGAGTTCTTTTAATAACTGGCAAATGAAAACAGTTGGGATACCCCACCCTGACCTGTGTGGTTATGATAAATAATGCACTCCATAGCAGCATGACACTGGCTTCCATATTATGTGTTTTTCGTACCCCAGTTCCAATAGGATATTAGCCTTGTGGTGGTCCCACACAATGACCCGGGTGTCATACGAGGCAGTGGCCAGCAGCGCCCCATCTGGTGAAAACTCACAAGACACCACATCATTGTGGTGCCCCTCCAGCTTCCGGATCAATGTCAACTTATCCATGTTCCATAGGAACACCTGCAACGTGAAGAGAGGACTGTTATAGCCTATGGAGTGATTTGGTGTAGTAGATGTGCCATCTTAAAAACTTATCATTACTATATGCACATAAAGAATTTAGAACTTAAATTAAGCAACATGAATTAAAACAGAATTAAACAGTTATGCTCAAGTTATGTCATTGTAAAGCTTTGTAAAGTTTAACCAGGCCATACAAAGAAAAGAGGACATGCTACACAAGGAGCAAGGCTATGTCAAAATGCAACACTTCACCTACATTGACAATTACAATTACATTCTAACATGTTTATATGATAGTATTAAAGTACAACATCCTAATTAAAAATGTATACATCTTTTAATATGTTATTAAACATACTAAATAAATATTTCCATTATTTTAATATAAAAAGTCTACACAAAGAAAGAGAAAATAAAACAAGTAGTAACTTAAGGTAACATAATGTTACTCCACTGGTTTCCCCTTTCAGAGTTTTAGTTCACTGTTTACAATAGGCTCGCACCTCCGGCAGAAGCCTACGAAGAGAGACAGATACTGCAAGAGAAAAGAATATTTTATGGCCAAAGGGTTGATACCTTTGGCAAAGTACACATATGTACACATACACACAACCACACACACACACACACACACAGAAAAGTGATCATCTGTGGAAGCCTTTTTGCTTTTAACAGTCAGATGGTTTGAATTTTTAGCATTAATATTTATGCATCACCTAAGAACTATATATAACTTCTGCACCCTATCACTGCTTATAAGTGCTACAAACCCTGCTTGTGAACAACTGCAATTAATGATATATATGAAAATCAGAACAGTCACCTGGCTAATGGTTCAGTTTCTTCTTCTTTGTACTAGATAGTTTTCTAATTTTCTAGTTTCCTCAATGTTAGTTAAAAACTGTTTTTTTTCTGTTGGATTTCTAAGCTGTGTTTTTCAGTATGATGGAAGTATGATAGTGGAGAAATGCAGATAAATTACAGTGTAATTAACTGTCGTTCCACTGTTGTTGCCAACAGGGTTACAGATGGATAAGTTACCAGATAAGTCGCCAATTTGTTGACTGACTTTCTCAATAGCTTTAAGGCTACATTTGCAGAACACAAGTGCTCTGCAAAAGGAACAGAAATATTTTGTAATCATTTATGTCATTATCAACAATAATCTGAAACCTGCACATAAATTCTACAAAAAAGGGGCTGATGTAACATTTGCCAAACACTGGCAGCTGCTGGCTGTACAGCTGTAACAGTAACAGTAAGGGGAAGGGGGCAGGTTGGTTGTTAAACTGTTGTGCTGCCTGAATGGTTCTCTATAACTTGCTATTGGCAGCATTCCAATGTTACACTGTATGCTACATGGGAAACATTTAAACTGACAGTAACAGAAGTCCTAGGAACAAAAAAGAAGCTGGCGTGTGCAGACAGTTGACGGAGCAATTTAAAGATAAGGGGGGAGGTGTGGAAGTGGGTTTGGGAGAAAGGTGAGGAGGTGAGGGGGTAGAGGGAGTATTTAATAACCAATTGAATGATAGTTTTAAACTGAAATTAAAATAAATAAGAGGAACTGCAACAGCAGAGGTAGACAGACACGGAGCAGCACCTACGTACAGATTGACCTTGCGGGTCAGGTGCCAGGCTGCCCCTGGCCAGGCCTTTGGGCATTGTGCACTGTGCGTCCCCGGTTTACACCGGCTGCTCAAAATGTCAGCGCGGCGCTCCCTTCAAAACCAATCACACACTGAGCTCTGCCACCACCTGTGACAGGGAGAGCAAGACACACACTGTAGGGACACACACAGCCTAACAAAAGCTACCACCATGTCTACCATTACCACCATGTTCAGTTTGATCTAGAGCTACAACATTGTAGATAAGATGAACTAAAAGGTGGCCAATCTATGGAATCAATATCCAGAAACATGTCTGCCTTAAGGGCTGCTAAAATATGGGAAATAATTCAACATGTCATAAAAGAAGGAAATATTTCTTACATGAACTTGATACATGAATGATAATATGCAAGGACATGAGTGCAGAATTAAATCTTTTAAGCCCCGCCCATTTTTGCTCTGTACTCCAATAACTCCAAAAACCTCAGCTAGGTTCCTCCTTTCCTGTACTTAGATATGCCATGTGCTTAGCTCAACTATGTTGAAAAGACAACCACAAGCGACATATATAGTCATCTTTTTAGCTAATGTTAAAAATATCAACTAGCTAATTTACATCAATTGTTAGTTGGCTATATGGCTAACGTTTTGCTAACATTAGCTACCGAACTTAAAATGTGACTTTCATATGTAAGCTGCCTAATGATTGATGTAGACTAGCTAGCCAGTTAGCTAGCGTTTTGCTAACATTAGCTAACTTAAGATATGATTACATGCATCGCTTTTATCTTTTAACCACTTAACTTTTATCTTAACAATGTAGTTGTCTTTTTCAACAGAAATTAGCCTAGCAAGCAAGTACAAGAAAGGAGGAAGTTGGCTGAGGTTCTGACAGAGGTCTGCTTAACTTTTATTGGGGCACAGAGCAAAAAGGGGTGGGACTTAGGTAGGGTCTTTTGGATGTTGACTGTAATTTTTCAACATTTCCCTGCTGTATATATATATATATATATATATATATGTATGTATACACACAAAAAAGGTGTAGTTTGGTCTTGCCCACTCCAACACAAATACTTATCAGAATTATATGATGAAACAAATTTACTTCAGCTATATAACAATAGTGAAAATAGTGCTCTGCATGCAAACTCAGAACACCGAAAGCCTTTTTTCCCCCACTGCAAACAAAAAAACTGAATCTAGATGCAGGTAGCTCAACTTATCATGACACGGAGCACAGTTTGTTCTAAGGTTGAAAAGCGAGGGCAGGGCAGATGGGGAGTCTTTTTTTTTTTCATTTGAAGGTTGATTGAGCATAACTGGTCACAAGCAATTGCACACAGATTAGCTAGCAAACCCAACAAAATCAGTAAAAAGGAACTTGTGTACGTACTGCTTTGCCTGCGCCAACTGAGCACAGGATGGAGGAGTCAGGGGAGAAGGCGCTGCAGTACACCCAGTTCTGATGCCCTCGCAAAACCTTCACCATGTTACCTGCAAGACACAAACAACATTATCTTCATGTTTACAGCCTAGTCCTGCACTTTTCTTCTATTTTTCAAAACAGGCCTTTCAGTTCAGTGGGCCGATATTTCCCCTGTGAGCATGATGCTTTCAGCTAGAAAAACAAAAAGTGTCACTTTATCACAACTGAACTGAAAGAAAGAAAAGAAAATCACAGAAAGGAAAGTTAAATCAAAAGCTCATCTACATACCATCATCTTTGAGGTCCCATACACGGAGGGTCTTATCTCTGGATGCCGAGACCAGCATGAGGCTGCCATCAGGAGCAAAGGTCAAGTCTCGCACTACATCAGTATGGTCCATCAGATTCAGCAACAGTTTTCCTGCAACAAGCCATCAAATCAAACGGGATTAATGAAAAAACACATCCACAGTGAAGTGCAACATAACTGACTAATTTGTACAAATTCCAGACATGTCCATGTGTTGTTGGTCAGTGTGGGCTGTCACTGTGTGCCTTGAGATTGTGGTACCACTTGGAATTCTATATTGTGGCTACAGTTCTCTCATTATCCTGAAAACCGCCTCCTCAATCAAAGCCAATGTGCCACATATCCTTTCTATATGTGACCTTTTACGGGACTTCTTGTTTAGCCAGAAATGCCCTAAAGCAACTCTAAGTTAGCAATATCACCTGCTGCATTGATATTCACTAAGTTACTCACTGTCTGTGACTGACAGCGACCTGGGCGCAAACAACGGCAACCACCGGCAACCACCGGCCTGAGAGTTCTCTGTGCACCAGGGGAGTGTTGGTGTTGGTAGCAGTTTGGACAGCTTGCAAACTCAATTTACAGTATGAAATATCTTGTCACTGCATTCCTCTGCCTGTTTACTTCCTTACAAAAAAAAAAAAAAACTACTTAAAATTTTCTCTTGAGCATATAGACTGTAAATGTTCAAAGAAAGGCTGCAGCTTTGAAACTGTCCAAACAAGACTCCTAGTTTGGATTAATGACTCAGAATGAGTCAAAACAAGTGATTATCAAAATAGTTGGAGATGAATGAATCAATTGTTCTGAGTCGTTCTTTAAAAAAAAACATGTCCATATTCTCTGATTGTTGTGACTGTAAATATTTTCTGGTTCATTTAGTCCACTACAACACTAAACTGATTACCAACTAATTAAGGTGAAGAGGGGAACTGGTTGTAATTAAAACAATGTGTCCTCACCAGTGTAAACATCCCAGATCTTGATGCGACCATTGTTGAGGCCTGTTGCCAGGAGCAGCTGGTCCTGGCCGAACTTGAAGCGGTGCCACTCGATGTTCACGCAGCGGCTCTGCTTCTCTGGCACAGAGGAGCCGAAGGCCAAGCCCCAGACGATGTCACCGCAGTCAATGGTGTGTTCACGGGGCTCACCAGCCGCTGGGATTACCTGGCCTCCGTCGCTGTTCTGACGAGACAAATGCCGGGGGCTTGAGGCATTGGTGCCCTCTCCACCAGGGCCCACTGAACTACAACAACAGAGAAACATATAAGAGGAGGTCAAAGAGAGACAGCCCGGTTGTTTCGACCCATGTGATGAACGGCCACGAGCAGCTGAACCTTGCTGGCACGGTGCAAGTGTTTTCCCCCTAAGCCCCATGTTGGAGGTGTGCTGGTCACAACTACACTACACAAGAGCCTGCAGCCATTTTCAGCTCACTGTAACTGATTGTCTGTACTATTCCTCCATGCAATATGATCTGTTGACCAAATAGCAGAACATGTGTATTTAATCCAGTTAATTTGACCTGTTTTTCCAGACAATTTCCAAGTGTGGCTCTGAGAGTCACAAGGCCCTATTGAGTGGAAAAAGAGCCTGTTTAGCAGAAAGGGAGCTGATAATACAAGCCACGTGTCCTTGGCACTGAGAAGCACCTCTTTGTGTTTGTTCTGCTTCCTGCATTAGGCTGGAGGGACACTGAAAAACAGCAAACTTTTGGAAAGTTCTAATAGCACATACATTTGCCAACACTGTAGATGTACATGACTTTTTCACTAAGTGGAACATTTATAAAATTACTTTATTTAATTCAGTGTCACTAAGGATGTGACTACAAGCTACTTGTCTTTAACACTGCAGTTAAAACAGTGCTGTGGATACTTAGAGTAAATGTAGTAGGGGTCTAAGGACCTATGTTGGTTACATTGATAACTCAAGTAAGTTGCACTGTATAATTAAATACAAGAACATTAAAAAAGGTCAATAAATGTGTATGGGAATGTTTTATTAATCATGGTTGTTAAAGTATTAAAGTACTTGCAGTAACTGAGTGCATTTCTGTTTCAAATGACACTTACAAGTTCTTCAGGCATTTTGTCCAGGGAATGAGCCTGACAATGCGATGCCCCTGAGACCAAGCAAAGTAGGAACCATTGGGTGCAAAGGCTACTGTCCAAGCCTCGCGCCCAGACTTCTGGTCAAAGGGAGCAACAGGCACCAGGAGTTCACCGATGAACTTAGCCTTACCTGGAAAAACAACATCAACGCCGTTACTTAGCAAAAGGATCACTTATTAACACATTACATCCCCTCTGTTTATCCAGACCAACCCACAGGAGCTCCAGTCATCCCAAAGTAACCTCCTTACTCATACAAGTAGGCTTGTCACAGATGCAGGAAGCTGATTGGTTTACTGTGCTACCCAAACCATTTGTACAAAAACAGTGGGTGGGGACCATTACGAGACAAATAGGTTAAATTCTCCATTTTTAAATCAAATCAAATTGTCTGCAACATATTTGACCTATTACCTGCCCCAAGTCAACCTGTATAGGACAATCAGATTCACTTTGAAAAGTAACCTTTGGCTTACATTTCCCTTGCAGATCTTATAGATCCCAGAAACACAACAGATTGAAGGACACAATTTCACGTTTGTCCGAAAACAACACAGAAGACATTTGAACCGTTATACAGAAGGATAGGGTGTTTGCATATATGGGACCTTTCTATGACCAACTTACATGTTTATAAGCAGTACTTATCCTGGACCATTCAGTCCCATTAAAGTGTTTTCCTTTTAGGAGAATTAACAGTTTAAAAGTAGTGTAACAAATCTAAACAACATCATTGACAATAATCTTAAACAGGGGTTGATAAATGCCAGAAACTTTTTAGATTTATTTTAACAGTTAGGGAATTTAATAACATGTGTAAAGTGTCAAGGTAGTATACTGTTACAGAAGAAAATTATAGACAATAATGAAAAAACTAGCTCAAATGTTGAACTGAAGAATCGTATATTCTGTGATTTTTAAAATCTGGTATTTAAATAATATATGTATACATATATTCATATATCCATGTAAGTACCTACCAACATTAAGTAAGACATTGTATATTAGTACTGGGCAATATACCGGTTTTAATTTCCCTGTATGATATAAACTGTAGCAATAGAACATTTGACAAACCTTCTTAACATTTACAAAAAAAGTCCGTTTATTGTGTGTATACAAGTACTATTCTGCACACGAAAACATTAAAATCATATTCTATTCTATGTCCTCCTGACAGTAGAACACGCCACAACAAGCCTATATAAAAAGGCTCGGACACGTAAACCGCTAGTATCTTAAAGAAATACCGGGATACACATTTGGATGTTAGCAGCCAGCAGTAGCTCGTGTGGGCTCGCACGTAGCCTACAGTGTCAGTGTGTGAGGCAGGGTTATGAATCACCCACTGCTGCTGCTGTGTGGGGGAGGGAAGGGTCTGAGCCGAGGTTCAATCAACAATCAAAGCGGCGAAAGGGACATTTATTTTAAACTATTATCATAAGCAAGAAGAGTGAAATGATAACGCCCCGACTAAGCATACTAAACTGTAATAAACCAGCTGGGGTTTATAACGAAGTTAGGTTTGTTAAACAGAACAATGCACTCTCAGTTAACGGAGACGGCGCATACAATGCAACCGACAGACTTTACCTGAACAGTGACGCTACCTGTAATACGAAGCCCAGAGGTTCAGTGTACGTTAACTTAAACTTAAGTTATATAGCCATTAAGGCCATAAAACGGTGGCTCAGTGGGGGTTAACGTTAGCTTAAATTGATTTAGCTACTGAGCTAATAGGTAAACAATGCGCGCGACAGTCCACCACGGCGCACTGAGTGAAAGAGCATTTAGGTTAGCTTAGCTGTTGCTTAACGTTGCTTAGTGTTACATTATTTTTCGTGCTCCGCCGGCCCATTACTCAGAGGCTAACTAACTTTGCACTGCCTGGAAACGGTTAACTTGGCAACCCAATAATACCACGCTGCTCCTCCCAGGAACTGCCAACATATAAATGATAAATGTAGCATTTTTACTTACCTATATCATTTTCGTTTACAGAGTCTGGGAAGCTTGCCATCTAAATTAGGGCACAGACCTAAGAGAAAAGCCAAGCGCGGACTGTAAAACTAAGATATCTGGAGGAAATGATCTACGGGTGCGGAATTAGATGGCGGCTTTTCCTCTTCCGATGTCTACACTGAAGTCGGTTGAATCCCGCAGCCAAGCTGAACTTCCCGGATGAAAAATACAGTCGTCGTTCGACCTGTTTTTCTTGACTTCCTCGACAACAGACTTTGTTTTACTGTTTAAATCAACAGTTGTGCTGCTCGGGTTTCTCTCGGATTAAAAACAATTAAACACGTTATAGTATTTGTTTCTGCGGCTCTGAGTACTCTGTGTGGTTGTACAATGGCTTCTGACTGGGAGGGTAGACCTACACAGCTATTTTCATCTGAAGGAGGGTGGGAGGGTTTTCATCACACGTCAGCACAGTTGCCATGGTAATACTATTAAGACCGCCCCCTGCTGTCTGTTTTTTCAGCTCTATGTTTTCTTTTCTTTTTTTAAAAACTTTATTGAGTAAATAGTAATTCAATTAATTCAATACATGAGCTATATGAGTATACCCAACACTATAATCTTTTGTTAAAGTTGCAACTACTGTATACTTCAACACATTAAATATATAATGATTACAATAAATATATAAGAAAACTTTCAGGATCAAAAAATCGAGCCAATTTGAAAAGTCTAAATAATCTAATAGTTTTTGCCTATTTTTGATGATTGAATTTCATATTTAATAGTTGTAATACATTTTAGCTAGATTTTAGGCTCAGTGTGTAGAATTTAGTGGCATCTAGGAGCATAGTTGCAGAGCGCAACTGTCACTTCACCCTCCTCCTCCTCCTCTTCCAAGCAAGACAGAGAAACTACAGTGGCCATGAAACATGAAAAATGCAAACTAGAGACAGAGTTTGGTTTGCCCTGGGTTACTGTAGAGACATGGCACTTCAACATGGCGGCCTCCATGGAAGGCGACCCACAAATTCATTTAAAGAAAACACACTGATTCTTATTGTCAGGGGGTTATACACTGATGAAATGTAACAAACTGGACCTTCAAAATCAGTATCTATAGAAGTAAAAAAAATAAAAATTTAATCTAAAATCTTTTAAGCCATATCATTTTATGAATATAATATTTTTTTTAAATATGTTTTAAGTAAATATTATTTATATATATTTCTTAAGTAAATTATCTCAATTTCATGTGCAGAGAAATTTTGATTAAAAATTAGTAATATGTCAATCTTATATCTTTGTTCTGTAAATCAAACCAAAAAGAAATAACATGAACACAATCTATAAACACATTTCCCCCTCACAACTGCTAAAAGTGCATCTATTGTTTACTGTTGGGAAGAAAGGACAGATATCAGCTTTAGCAGGGTATGCCTGCAAAGAATGTTAAATTAAACTTTGATTCTGTTTGGATATATATATTTATAAGGTAACAGAAACTTCTTTTCCCCTTTTTATACCTTTGACAAACAAACTACAGAATGGTGCACTGCTGCCACCAACTGATCCAGAGTGGATTTTTCTTCTGAGGCATTTAGTATGTGCATGCAGTTTGTTTGTCATTTACTTATCATTAGGCTTTCTTTTGAAGAATTCAGATAAACAAAAGTGATACATATGGCACATATGTATGTATCCGGTTGGCACAATTCACACGTCAGTTTGATCAATTTTCATTAAAAGTATCAACTTGAATGTAATTCTCTCCATTATGTATATATTGTAAAGTATAAAGTATACTATTATGTTTTTGAACCGATTGGCTCCTGTAATCGCTTTCTTTGGATTACCAGTATGAGGCAATGTACCGATGTAGTGGTTAATGGCCAAAACTTTTGGTTTGTTTTAAGTATTTCTTTATTTTAGTTTTTTCATGTGGATATGTGGATGTACATGATACCGTGATTGTAATTCATTTGTGTTGCTTGTTTGCCGAATTTAAATGTGCATAAGTATAAATTAACATTTTGTGTCTCCAGGACACTGTGGACACTTGAAAACGGAGCCACAAAGGGACAGTTTCAAAAAATTTGAGAGTGGTTTGTCACTGCGCTTTCAGCAGGCAGTTTGATTAGAGTTACAGTGTTTTGTGCTGGAGAACCGAAGAATAGTGTCACATTCTTCCAGCTGAATTTCCTCCAGTGGGGGAGCTACCAAACTTATTTAAACATTCCTACAAATAAATCTTGCTTTTGCTTATCATTTTCCATGCCAATGAGCTGCTGAGCCCCAAACATTGTGCACAGTACTCCTATGCTGGAATATTAATATCCCTCAGATTCGCTGTAGAGGAGAATGGAGTTGGTTATCACACTTTTTACTTTCATTAGAATCCCTCAAAAACTGTACCCTCAATTGATTCCCCTTCAATGTGCAATGGAAGCCTGAAATGTCAGGTAGGACTCTAGTGACCTTACTCTCTTTAAGCCTATTCTGTTCAAAAAATTCCATCCCCATTTTGGGGTTGGTGATAGTCAAACACAATGGGGCTGGTTGTCCCTATGTGATTTTAATGGGGATGAATACAAAATGGGAGCAGGTCAGGACGAAGGTCACCTGACTTTGCTGTTTCCTGCATGTCCAAAACTCTCTCTAACAACATTAAAATGCTAAGCCATTCACACTTAAATGTGATGTGCCTTTTTATACACCATCCCATGGCAGGGGGTCTGCGTCTACGTCATTCATGGTATAAAAACTCTTTAACACTTGTGCTTTCATCTTTACACATTGATAAGTGATTTGGGGAAACCAAAGAGTTTTACTTGATAGAAAAAACCTTTAATGGTCATGTTAATATATTTACAAATATAATACAAGTACAACACAATTATTTAAATGACTAAGGAATGTCTTTGCGTACAAGAAAACTTAAAACACAACAATTACTATCGACTGTTACACAACTGTGGAGAGAAACAAACATGTTGACTCTTTCTTCAGAAACTGAGTTGTTGAACCAGAAGTGGAGAGTTCCTTTAAATCTAATAATGGCTAATGTTGTCTTCCTGTTTGGCATTTCAGTGACGGCATAGAGAGGAGCTCCATATATAGGATGTGGATTCTGCTCTTAGGGTATGGCATACGTTCTTACAAGATCCCGAGGAGAGCCTGAAGCTCACTGTAAACTGTTCAATGCTGCTGAATGGCCTGACCTCACTTAATGTACATTCATGACCTTTGAATTCCTGTCATCAGTCCTGACAGAAACGCAATCATGTTTACTGACCAACTTAAAGTTACCACTACACCACTAGACAGCAGAAAATCCTACACACTGGTCCTTTAAATGATGCACTTGTCAGACTGTGGCTTGCATCATTTTACACCATTGGAAAATTCCAGCACTTTTCCATAACCTGTTCCACGCATATGGAGTCTGGAGCGTGCCAATGGAAAAATTAGAGACCTTTACAGTGTCTAATTACAAACAATTAATACATTGATTTTGAAATATTAACTGAATTGGCTTTAGATTAAATGAACTAAACGTTGTTTTGGACCGAAAAATACAGTTTTAATATGTTTGCATTGCCTTTAAATGACAATCACTGTAATTTAACGATGTGTAAGTAGTGTGCCACCTACAAATTTAAGTCTAACCCACAGAGCCACCGTATGGACTCTGATTGTTCAGACTCAATAACAATTTGGTGGCACACTACTTACATGTCTTAAAATTATTATTATACTATAAATACTTGAATACATTAAAAAGAAAAATAGCGGGCAATTAACTTAAAAAAAAGTTAAATTTAAAATGATGTTTAAAATTAATTTTGCGATTCACTTTAAAAAAAATTGTATTTATTAATAATTAAACATACAAGGACAGGTTGTGAAAAAGTCTAAATTTAATACTGATGCCTCTATATGACCTACATAAACAAATGAGACCATCAAAGAGAAGACTGGACATTTCTTTATAGTTATTGTTAATGCCTGCCACTGAGCCAGATGCCCCTTGAAATCAATCAAATGAGGCAGCAGAAACACTTACTTCTGTCCACAGGGCCTGCCAGAATCAACATAAACTAAAAGTTCCTTGTAGGGGCTTGAAATAAATGATTTGTCTAATCAGTTTAGACTACCTTTGTTAAATTGGTTAATTAATTGATTCCATTTAAAAACTTTGAAAGTGTCATTATACTCCATACATTTACAGGTGCATCTCAATAAATTTGAATATCATAGTAAAGTTAATTTATTTCAGTAATTCAATTC